CTGTCAGTGCTGAGAATGAGGGAGTGTGTCAATGACCCCAACACAAGAAAGATGTTTACAGCTATAGACAGTAGGAAGGGAGTGGGAGCCATTTGCCTGATGCCATGCCTGGGGAAGCTGCGGGGACAGGACAGCCAAGGCAGCAGTGCTGGGGGAGCTAGTCTGCCTGGTGGAACTTGCCACAGTGGTTCCAGGGCCTGGCTGCTCTAGAAGCAAAGCAGGTGAAGCAGGCCTATAGAGAGGGGACAGCTACATAGGCAGATGCCCCCCAGCAAGATTCTAGCCTGCCCTGGTGTGAAAAAAAATGATGGAGCCAGGACATGGGCGGGGCACAGGGGCAGCCTGCCACCTAGGCTCCTCTCCCCAGCCCAGCGACTATCCAGGGTAGGGGATGAACACTAGCACCAGGAAGAGACGAAGCCTGGGCATGTAGGAAATCTGACCTGGAGAACTTTCAGAGAAAAGACTGAGCACTTGCTCAATGTGACACCCAAACACAAAGACCTAGCAGTGAGGAAAGGCAAACAGGCAGCACATGTCTAAGAGTGGGGGGAAAAGCCAGAAAATGGGTATGAGGCTCAGAGAGGTAGAGGCTGGATGGAGGTGGCCAACTGTCTCCAGAGCCAGAGAGGAAGGGAAGCCTTGAGTGGGCAGAACTGAAGTGGGTGAGTCTCCACACCAAGTCCAGAGCAGATGGAACCCAAAACATGCAGCCCAGGACCCATGCCATCAGGAGTGCCAGGACCAGTGACCTGAGGGCAAAGCTTCCAGAGAGAAAGCTCAAGCAGGGCCTCAGGAGCAGCCATGGGGGCCAGATGATAGTATCTTACAAGGGCCAGGCACAATGGCACACGCCTGTAATCCCAGTGACTCTGGAGCCTAAGGCAAGAGGATCACAAGTTCAAAGCCAGCCTCAGCAACTTACTGAGTCCCAGTCTCTACATAAAAACTAAAAAGGGCTGGGGATGGAGCTCAGTGGGATAGCATCCCTGAGTTAAATCCCTAGATCCCCCCTCCACTAAAAAAATAAGGACCAGGTAGGTGGCTTAGGGCCTCGGATACTGGACATAGCCAAGCTGTCGGAAAAAATCAAGGCAAAGCAGCTGGAAACATGCCAGGGTTTGATAAAGGCAGATGCCACCCAAACTAAAGGCAGGTTGGAATCTGGGAAAACACCATCTGCAGAGAGGAGTGGATTGCCACAGGAAGCCCTCTCAACTGGCATGCCCTGGAAGTACTGGTGGCAATTGGGAAGGGTCCTCAGGGCAAGGTTCAGAGTGGCCAAGCACATCCCCTCTCTGGAAGGAGAAGTCTTCCACTCAGGCACACCTATGTATGAGTCTTGAGCTCCAGAACCACCCTTGGGATGGGCAGCGGATGACAAATTTAGGTGATCACTAATGTCTATGTTAATGACCTTGAAATGTGCAAGGCAAAGTACAGCTGAGGGTGGGATGTCCTCCCAAGGAGAAGGTGGGGGTGGGGAGTCAAATCGGTAGAGGAAGAAACAGGTTTGTGTTTAAGTTAGGAAAACTCAAAGATAGAACTTAGCTCTGGGTGGGAAAGGGCAACTGAAGCTGATGGCTGGGGAGGCCTATGCAGTTACTGGGAACATCAGCTATAGCCCCTCCCTCCTAGGCAAGCTGGGTATCTCGTGTAGTGAGTGTAGTTCCAAGCAGGGTGGGGTGGGCAGCAGAGACAGGAGCTCTTCAGCTAAGGTCTTAGAGCTGGCTGTTCCATATCACTGGGTTAATTATTATGCACACACATTATTCATCTGATTAAAATAGACACATCATCATCAGTCAGAACAAGCCCCGGCTTCTCACTGCATTGCATCCCCTGGGCTCTGGGGTGGCCGGCAGGGGCAAGGATGTGACTGGCCTGAGCCTCGGCTCCATGCTGTAGTCAGTGTGACCCAGCCCAGGACTCTGAGCTGCTTGCCTGGCACTTACAGTAGTTTCTGGGCACAGTAGCTACTAAGACTGGCACCTAGGTTTCAAGCCCCATGGGGGCTAGGTGGGGCCCCCTCCCTGCCACTCAGTCATGTCTGAGAGGGAGGATGCGGGCCTCAGGTGGGAGCCAGGAGGCGATCCTGGGAGGTGCTGCCCAACACTGCCTTTGCCAGGCCCAGAAGCACTAGACTCACTTTTCTGTTTGTGTTTTTCTTTCCTCTGCAGCCACCAAAATGGATGAACTAACCCAGAAGTATAAGGTCTTCAACGACAGTCTGCAAAAAGGCACAGAATAATGCAGGAGCAGGAGGCCCTCCCAGCACGCTTGCTGGAGAAGTGGTTCCAGTACCCATTGTGCCTCCATTTGCCGGGTGCCTTCAGCTTCTTGGGAGGGTGGGTGGGAGGGCAGAGAGGGCCAGGGCTGTTTGAGCTACAAAGAAAGGAAACCTCAGACTCTTAAGAAGTTGCCTCCAGTCTGCTCTTTGCTTCTGCCATTTGGGTCCCTTGTCTCCCCTCTGGCCTGGGCTACTGAGCTCCCTTCCTGTCCCTAGTATCACAGGTCTGGGGTCTGCTGTCCTGGTGGGCCTGGGCCCTGCCTCTACTCCTTCCTATCATTACCTGCTTAAACTTGGCTATGCCTGGTGGGCGTGGGCCCTGCCCCTCGCTTGTTGCCTTCACTCCTTCCTGTCATTGCCTGGTTAAGTTTGGCTGTGCCCAGCCAAGGCCTCCACTCACCATGCATGCACCCCTCTCCCTGCCACCCCTGGCCTGTCCCCATTCCTGTGTGAGCACTTCTCGTAGCCCCTCAGGAGCCCTCATCATGCGCCTGGGAGACAGCTTGTCTATTCCTTCCTCCCAGGGTGCTCAGCATCTATTGGGGAATTCTTGATGTAGCCTGACTGGTTGTCCAGGAAGCTGCTCTCTGGGCTTCCCAAGATGACCCAGTATCTCTCTGAGCAGTGTGCCTGTCACAGACACCTCCCTCCCTTTGAGCATGGGAACAGGAAGGACTGGTGGGGCCTGAGGGAGGGGGCTCCCTCCTGCCTGAGGCTGCTCTGCCTACTCAACTCCCTGCACCGTCACCTTTACTCTCCCAAATTCTCCTATGGGCACTTGAGGCAAGGAAGCACCAGGGAACCAGGCACCAGGCCCCCTCCTGCTATCACCTGGGGTGGCCTCTAGATTGCTGCTGTGGGGGACAGGCAGACCTGTGCTCTCCACTGTCCGGGTGAACTGACTGCCTTGCAGGTCAAAGGACACATGAGGGTTTGCACTGGGCAGAGAGCAGCATCCTGATGCCCTCCCTATTCCCCTAGCAGGAGATTGGACCTGTAGTGTGTCCACTGCCAAATGCTGGCATGTCGTGCTCTGGAATGAGGTTCTTGGGATTCTACATGCTTCCTGGACCAGGGATGGTTCTCTGGCCATCCTCCCATCTTGACGGTGTCCTTCATCGGGAGCCAGGTGGAAAAGGGGTCCCAGGAGCTGGGCTTTACTCCTATTCTGTGATCCTGGGGTCACCTAGCCCCTACCCCCCCATTTTGCGTGTTCCTATAAGTGGAAGAATCTGTACAGGCACAGCCCAGCCCATGGGGCTTGCTGGGCCAGGCCCAACCACTTCTCCAGCCCAGCAGAGTTGCTCCTGCCTCACCTCTTCCCTCTCTGACAGCCTCTGCTCAATGCTTGTTAGACACCATGGGTCATTTCAACCTGGAGCAGATAAACATCCCACTCCCCTTCCTGATGGAAGATGAACCCACAAGGTGGGTGAGCAAAAGCCAGGCAGTGTCTATACTGGGCACATCCCTGAGGCCACCCCTGGTCATTAGGGTGACCCAAGCCTGTTCTTAGCACCCCTCCTTCTTCATAGGCCGAGTGAGACGTGGGTGCTTGTTTCACTGTTGAGGTCACATTAGGACAGCCTGGTCCCCAGTGATGGGGAAACCAAGGCCTGGAGAAGGTGACAAGTCTGTGTGACATGTCCATCATGGGGCTTGGCATCAAACTTGGGTCTGCCGGACCTGGTAGCTGCAGCCTGACCCTCATCAGACTCATAGGCAGGACTAAGTAGAGGGCACAGCCTTCTGCCCTACTCCAGCTTCCTTGTACCTGTGAGGACACGTTTCTGCAGCCCATGGCAGCACTCTTCGCTCACCGGAAGCCTGCGTGTGGCCAGAGCCTGCTTCCCAATCTGTAAACATGGGGCGTGTTTCCCAGTGGTGGTGAGCTTGAGAGGGGGTGGCAAGTGAGCCGGCCACACAGGTCCTGCGGCCTCAGGCCTCTTGGTTGCCCAACAAGCTGCTGGGGGCGGGCCACAGCTACTGATTAAAGGCTGCCTCGAGCAGCCTGTGTGGAGACAGGTGTCCCGTCCTGCAGCCTAGGAAGCCGGCCAGCGCCTGCCCCAGGTAAGCCAGTGTGGTGGGGTTGGCGAGGACTGCCTCTGGGAGCCAGGAGGCAGGCAGAGGCCTGTTTAGAGCTAATATTGGAGGAGGAAGGCTAGGACCACTGTGTGGGCTTTCTTGGGTGTCTGCTCCCAGTCTTGGTATCTACGAAGTGGCCAAAGTGCCATTCCTGGGCTATATCTGCCTCCCAATGTCCCTGAAGGGAACTGCGGCTAGACAATGGCCTGGCAGCAAAAGGCAGAGGGAGGGCTTGGGACTAGGATCTGGGCTCTGTAGGCCTTCCCTTTCCTCTGTTAGGTGGTAGGAAGTGTGGCTGGCTAGGGAGAGATGTGAGGGATAAAGGGGGATGGGTCCCTAGCAGGCCCCTTCCAGGACAGAAGTTAACAGGTCCTGATCACTGGGTCCCAGCCCTGTAGAGGCCCATTCAAAGTCTCCTTGGACGTAGGCTTTAGATATCACTTCTAGAGCCAAAGCTCTGTGAACTGGAGTGGGGGTAGCAAGGAAGTGAAACCTAATGGGGTCAGAACTTTGACCAGAGAGATGGCTGTGGGTAACAGGGCCCAGGTGTCCCCATCTCTTTAGCATTCAGATTTATGCCTCTTACTCTGGCAGCTCTAGGCCTCACTGCCCCTGTGAAAACATCACCATGTCTGAGCCAACCCGGGCTGAGACCTTTGTCTTCTTGGACCTGGAAGCCACTGGGCTCCCCAATGTGGATCCAGAGATCGCTGAGATATCCCTCTTCGCTGTTCACCGTTCCTCCCTGGAGAACCCTGAGCGTGATGAGTCTGGCACCCCCATGCTGCCCCGTATCCTGGACAAGCTCACATTGTGCATGTGTCCAGAGCGCCCCTTCACTGCCAAGGCCAGCGAGATTACGGGCCTGAGCAGCGAGGGCCTGGCGCAGTGCCGGAAGGCTGGCTTTGATGGTGCTGTGGTGCGGACGCTGCAGGCCTTCCTGAGCCGCCAGGAGGGCCCTATTTGCCTTGTGGCCCACAATGGGTTTGACTACGACTTCCCTCTGCTCTGTACAGAGCTTCAACGCCTGGGTGCTCACCTGCCCCGGGACACTGTCTGCCTGGATACGCTGCCAGCATTGCGGGGCCTGGACCGTGCCCACAGCCACAGCACCCGGGCTCAAGGCCGCAAGGGGTACAGCTTGGGCAGCCTCTTCCACCGCTATTTCAATGCTGAGCCAAATGCAGCCCACTCAGCTGAGGGCGATGTACACACCCTGCTCCTCATCTTCCTGCATCGCGCTGCTGAGCTACTCGCCTGGGCAGATGAGCAGGCCCGCAGTTGGGCCCACATTGAGCCCATGTACACACCCCCTGATGGCCCAAGCATTGAGGCCTGATTCCACCTCACCAGTTCATCCAGGCTCTGTGGCCTGGAGCTGGTCCTCACCAGGGAGATTTGCTGCCCCTTATCCTAGTTCTTAGCTGGGTGACCCCAGGCCTGGTTGACCATAGAGCCCAAGAGCCTTTAAGCCCACCTCCAGGCCTATACACCCTCTTGGTGGCCTGCACGCTCTTGCCGTTGGCAGCTTTGGGGATTCCATTCTTCCCCTGTTTCTCAATAAACATCACTAACTACTTACCTGCTGACTTACTGGCCAGACCTTGAGGCCAGGCTCCCTGCCTAGGCCTCCCATCATCCTGTCTAGAGAGCAGGCAGGGAGCTGTGCCTGCCAGAGAAGAGCCCCCAGCTTGCCCCACTGTGGTCTGTCCCTGTGGGGATGTCAGAATCCATGCGCTACTGACCCTGAGCCACTGGCTGCCTTCCTGGCTTGTCTTAATGTCACCTTGAGTATGCCTCTCTGTAGTGTTGCCCCGGAGGTCTAAGAAATGAACGAACAGGGTCTTGGGTTGAGCAGCTTCAATATGTGCCAGGAAGGGAGATGAAAGGGGGATCTGAGCCTAGAGAATTGGCACCTATCAGGATGCAAAGCCCAGTCCAGCACTCAGCCATTGTGGGGCCCATCCAGAGTTGTCTCTGTGCTGTGAAGTGGTAACAGGGTGAATTAATATGGGGCACTGGGAGAAGGGAGGTGCCTCCTATCCACATGCAGGCATAGTACATGTACATGCTGCGCCACAGGAAGTCCACGGAAGCATGCGGGAAAGGGGTGCACAGAGGAGGTTATGTTGTAAAACTGACCTGAGGAGTGGAAGAGGGGTAGGTAGCCAGCACAGAGGGCACTACCTAGAAAGGAACATATCCTGGGCCCCACTTCTAGAGGCGCAGCCCTAGGAAGGCTAGGAGGGCACCTCACTAGCCAACTCAGCTGGGCTTTGGGTTGCTGGTTAATCTGTCTCTGGAGCCCCACCCTGAGGCACTCCCATCTTGCAAGGAGGTGGACAAGGAGAGACCTGTCACCCAAATCCTGGGATAGGTAAGAAGGGGTGGAGTGGCCACATCTAAGAGTGACTCTCACAAGCAAAGCCTCCAGCCTTGAGCCAGCCAGGCCCGTTTGGGGAACCCTAAGTAGGTCAAAAAGTGTAGGACTTCTGCAGTATGCAAGGTGGCAGGATGATAAGGACAGAACAGAGGCAGCAGCCACACCAGATGGTCCTCATGGCCTGGCTGGAACTGAGCCTGATGGTAAGGGTGAGCTACAGATGGTTGTAAGCAGGAGAGGGCAGGATCTGATTTATGTGTAGTTTTCAGTACCTCTCAGGCTGCTATGTGGAGAATGAAACTAGAGGAGGTATGGGGAGGGTGACAGTAAATAAGAGACAGAGAAGTAGAAGGGTTAGGGATGTGGAAGGAGAGTCATCAGTCTGGTTAGGGACAAAATGGTGGGGACAGGGGAGGGATGTAGTAAGGGGAAGCCCTGCAGTGGCTAGTTTGGGAGTGGGCTCAGTAACCAGGTCTTGTCACAGCCAAGCTTTCTGATCAGAGCTGTGCCTGAGGGAGTGTTGCAAAGCCAGGGCTGGGCGGGCGGGGCCAGGCCTCAGAGAAGCTGAAGGAGTAGGGGGTACAGGGTCTCCCAGAACTGCCGACCAGACAGTTTGTCCCTTTTATCTGTTGGCTGGGCTCCAGGTGGGTAGCCTGAACCAGCAGGTGGTGCCCTTGGAATGCTGGCCTTACTGCTGACTCAGAGGGCGCTCAATGCCAGGTCGTGCAGAGAGAAAGACTGCCCAATCTGTGTCAATGTTGCCTCTGCAGGGTGGTCTCCAGTTTGTGTCCTCCCATCCCTCCAGGACCAAGGAGCCTGTCTCTCACCATTCTGGGCTCCCTTGACCTCATGGTGTCCTGGCCTCAGGCACCCTCCCTGAGTTGGTGCTCCCCGGGACCAGCCAGGACAAGCGTTGTGCTTCCATGTAGTGTAGACAGGCTGTGACCTGCCTCCTGCTGTTTCAAAGCAGTGTTATGCTGATAAATGTATAGCAACTGGCTATCCAGGAAAGGACCCGGAAGCATTTGTATTTATATTTGTATGTTTGTGCCTGAGCTGTGACAGCATCTGATGAACAAATGTAGATCCCACATAAATGTTGGCTGAGATTCTCATTTATCTTAAGGTGAAGGTAAAACAACGAGGCAGTATGTTGGAGCATCCTTACTCATGGTGATCATAATGTCATGGTTACAGACAAGACATTCTTCAGTTTGATCTGTATTATTAACATTTTCCCCATCATTTGCTAAGTCTAGGCAATTAAAAAAAGCAGAAATAAATTGCTGAAGGTGGACTTGGCAAGAGATTTTACATAACATGCTAGACCTTCCATTTCCACCATGCAGATCTTCTAGATGAACAGCAACACATAGAAAAACATGGTCAAATAAGATGTGATGGTGGGCTGGGGTTGTGGCTCAGTGACAGACCACTTGCTTGCACATGTGAGGCACTGGGTTTGATCCTCAGCACCACATAAAAATAAATAAACAAAATAAGGATATTGTGCTCATGTATAACTAAAAAATATTTTCAAAAAGATGTGGTTGGTTTTGAGTATCATCTTTCTTTTTAATAAATGGAAGGTGTTCTCGCTACATACAACAGTTTGGGTGAGTCTCAGAGCAATATGTTGAGTGAAAGGAGCTGTGGTGTGTCCTAAGAGCCAACTCCAGAGCTCCAGCTTGTCCCTGGCCTACCACCTGCCCCTTGCCAAGCTGCATTATTGATTGACATGAGATCATGGGGGATATCTGCCCATGGGGACGTCGCTGTGATAACAAGAGCATACCTGGGGAACATTTGACACAAGCCAGTTGAAAACAGAATTATCCACAGAGAGAGACAAACACTAAAATTAAAAGGCCATAAGCATTTCTAGCTTGTCTGTGCAGGAGACAGTGACAAGAACAGTCATAGCTCTTAGTTATAGAGGCTGGAAGTTCAAGACCAAGGTAATAGCAGGCTCAGTATCTGTTGACAGCTCCCTTCCTCATGGATAATACCTTCTTGTTGAGTCCTCATGTGGTGGAAGGGACTAGCTCACTCTGTGGGGTCTCTTGTATGGGCACTAATCGCATTCATGGGACTCTGCCGTTATGATCTACTCACCTTCCAAAGGCTGCCTCTTATAATATATAACCTTGGTGATTAGATTTTAAAATATGAATAGGGGGCACACTCAGACCATAACACACAAAGATACACAGACACAAGTTTCCATTCCCCCCGTGTATACACACCTCTAAACCCCCACGTACTCCCACAACCCGTTCATGCACATATACACATACATGCCCCTCATTCCCACATATTCACTTATGATTTTGTATAAATGGCATTTTACTAGATGCTGCTTTTTAAAAAAATCATAAAAGCCTTTGTTGTTCGAGTTTTTCTTCTTGTTGCAGCACTGGTCGTTGACCCCAGGGGCATTTTACCACTCAGCTACATCCTCAGCCCTTTTTTAGAATTTCAAAACAGGGGTTTGCTAAGCTGCTGAGATTAGCTTTGAACTTGCTATCCTCCTGCCTCAGTCCCCTGAGCTGCTGGGATTATAGGCATGTGCCACCACACCTGGCCTCCCAAGTCACTGAGATTACAGATATTTGCCATTATGCCTGGAATTTTTAATGATTTTCTAGTTGATTTCCTCTAGATTTTCAAATGTATTGCCATCATTCTATTCTTTTGTTTTAAGTAGAAATTTTAAAGCAAGTGAGCAGAAATTTTATTAAAAAGTAAGAGAAAGATTCAGAACTCCTGGTGTAGCATGCCTGGGAAGAGGGAGAGTGTCCCATGACTCTTCTTCAGTATCTGTACTTATGTCTCCTTTCCATTGCTGGTCATGTGTTCATGTGTGGTTATTTTTTACTTAACAAGGATCGTAAGAGATTCATACATTTTAAAGAAGAAAACAGTATTTTTTTGGTACTAGGGATTGATCCCAGGGGATGGATCTTAACCACTGAGCCACATCCCCAGCCCCATTGTGTAGTTTATTTAGAGAGAGGGTCTCACTGAGTTGCTTAGGGCCTCACTGAGTTGCTGAGGCTGGCTTTGAACTTGTGATCCTCCTGCCTCAGCCTCCCATGCTGCTGGGATTACAGACATGTTCCACCACGCCTGGCAGAAAACAGGATTTTGAATTCTTTCTCCTTTTTAAATTATCTGCTTCATTAACTTCAGCTTTTATTTTGATTAATTCCAACAATAAATTTTCTTTGGTTTAGTTTTTGCTCTTTCTTCCAGTTTCCTGAGATGAAGACTAACCACCTTTGTCATCCCCCTTCTTGAAAGACTAAGGCATGCAAAGGCTGCAATTGTGCACCTAACTATGTCCCATTAAACATGCTTCTTTGCTTTGCTTTAGAGCTAGTTCGTGATTTCGCCTTTCATTTCCTTCCCAATCTAATGCTTGTTTAGTAGAATTTATCTTAATTTTGGAGTAGTGAAGATTTTGCAGTCATCTTTTATTGTGTATTTTAGTTGGATAAGATGTGAGAATGTGTTGCTTAAAATATCATCTTTTTGTCTGGGTGCAGTGGGCATGCTTGTAGTCCCAGGGGTTTAGGAGGCTGAGGCAGGAGGATCACAATTTTTAAGGCAAGATCCAGTAATTTAGTGAGACCCTGTCTCAAAATAAAAAAATCAAAAAGGGCTGGGGGATGTAGTTTAGAGGTAGAGTGTCCTTGAGTTTGACCCGTGATACCCCAAAAAGAAAAATCATGACTGAATGTTATTTAGGGACTGTGTGAGTTTTCTAGGGCTGCCATAGCAAAGCATAATAAACTGGGGGACTAAAATAATTGAAATGTATTATTTCACAGTTCTGGAAGCTGGAAGTACAAGATCAAGGTGTCATCAGGGTGGGTTTCTTCTGCGGGCCCTGAAAAGTCTGTGCCATACCCCTTCCCAGCTTCTGGTATTTGCTAGCAATCTTTTCCATTTCT